ACAATATGATTTTTGGAAACTTAAAATATGATCTTAACAATTTATTCTGTGTAACAATATTTAAACACAGATGGCAGTGTCAACAAATTCCTTTTTGAAGCAACATAATTATATTCTGTAAACTAAAAGATTGAACTAATTCATCCTATCGTGTCCAATTATGTTTGTTGTAAATTGATTGCATGTTTTGATATACTATTCATTCTGTACTTTTGAAAAGGAAATGAAAGAGTAAGCTCCTGAAGCCTTTTTTCCCAATCTTACTGATTGTCAATCAAATATGTTTGAATATGAATCAGAACTATATCAAAAGCAGTTAAATCAAATCCACTTGTTACTAATCGAGCCTGGGCAAGACACACCACCAGCTGATGGCATGATTGAAGTCATCGGATGACAATGACACGTACATCGAGATGTCTATCTGCGGCGACAATGAACGAATTTCTTATTCCCACATTATTTCCAAATAACGCGGATACGCCTATATAGCTAGTCATGATTACAAGTAGTCCACTCAGTGTGTAAACATCACCAAAATAAACAATAGCTTCCTTCCCTGTCTTTCTTTCCTTATATAAGTTCTCTCTCAAAGTGGGTCACATTTCACAATGAGCCTGCTCACGACAAATCTGATAAATTATTAAGTTCACGTTTGACGTGTTGCAGGGGGTCCGTATCTCAGTGTATTATATCGCCATTCTATCATAAATAGCCTGGACCCATTCGCCAAAAAGTTTCGTTTCGGAAGCAAGGGCGGATCCAGCAATTTTAGTGAGTGAGTGAGTATGGTTTTACGCCGCTTTAAGCAATATTCCAGCAACATCACGGCGGGGGACACCAGAAATGGGCTTCACACATTGTACCCATGTCGGGAATCGAACCCGGGTCTTCAGCGTGACGAGGGAACGCTTTAACCACTAGGCTACCCGACCCCCCCCCCCCCCCCCCCCCCCCCCAGCATTTTAAAAGGGAGGGTTCCAAATAACAAAATCCTCTCTCAGTCAATTTTACTGCTTACAGCATACTACAATTCATTATTTGATTATCAGAACAAAAAAGCCCCCACTGGATCCGCCAATGGGAAAGTGACCTCACAATCTCAATCTCTCTTATCACTAAGCACAGAATTTCTCTCGCTTATGAGCGTAGTTTGATTGGGCGGCTAATTTTAGTGTCGTGTAATTTGAAATCGGACTCAAAATGGGGTGGAATACTGCTGAGTGCGGCGTTAAACAACTAACAAATAAAACAACGAAGCTATTAAAGCGCATAGATCCAGTGTATACATAATAATAGAATGGTGATATACTACCCATAATAATCGAGAATGTGTACAGTTTTAATACCGGTAAGTAGACAAACAAAGCGGGATTTGAATAAATTAGAATAAACGTCTATATGACTGTCATTTTCCCGAACCTTTTGATGTTTCTGTAAGGTTTGCTTGGTTCGATCAGGAAAGTCAAAGTTTGATTCAGATCTATCAACTAACACACAATTCCTTTTTGGACTCTAGCCAAAACATCGTTTGCCGTCATTACATATATAAAACATTTAGAATTTTATTCGTCACTCAAAACAGCTTTTGTTATTGAACCGTATATTTTAAAATCACTTGTAAAGAACTAAGAAGAACGTTATCACTATTAAGAATTGGAGAATTAAATATCATGGTGAATATTGGAAGAAAAAGTAATATTGATTTTAATTTTAGATTTTGTCCTTTTCGTAAGAACATCATTGAAACTGAATTACATTTTATGTTATCATGTCCATTATATGATGATATCAGAAAGAAACACATTCCAAATATATACTGTAAATCTAAGTTATTTAAGCATATAAGCTCAAGCAAACAAACTGATTTACTTCAATTTTTAAAAAATTAAAGAGGCTATCGTATTACGTTCATCCCATTTGTAATACTTGTTGAATGTTGCACCAATATGTATATTCTATATGTCAATATTTATTTATCCATGGGCCTGTGGCCTTTATACTGAATAAAGAAATTGAATTACATATAACGCATTTGTCAATTACCAACAGGGCATCGTTTTGGTCTGAGGATGGAATGAGCACCATGGACTTGTGTTTCTCTTTAAAGATACGTTGGTTCTATTAACATAACTATAGGAGCACTACATATGATAATCTTCTCAACAACTATAACTGCTAAAGGAAGTCATCGAACGATACACAAAGGCCGGAAGACCGACACTAACGTGACCGAAAGTCGTCCGAATGAAATTCCCTTTTGAAACAGGTAACCAGTGGCATTTATATTACTACAGCATTTTGATTGATTGTATCTCGCAAAACAAGATACACTAAAGTTTCACGATAATGATAATTAAACCGACAAAAAAAACATGGTTATAATCAAAAGAAATATCTGCTAAAATCACTGTCCATTTACGATTCCAACGTTATCATGAGCATGTGTTTATGAATCACTTTAAACAAGTGATGATACCGGGTGTTCACGACAGGGTGACCGTGTCCTGCCCCACCGGCGGCACCCGTCACAAAAACAAGTCAATTGTTCACCTGAGTGAGTGAGTGAGTATGGTTTTACGCCGCTTTTAGCAATATTCCAGCAATATCACGGCGGGGGACACCAGAAATGGGCTTCACACATTGTACCCATGTCGGGAATCGAACCCGGGTTTTCGGCGTGATGAGCGAACGCTTTAACCACTAGGCTAACCGACCGCCCCAATTGTTCACCTGAAAGAAACACGGGAACATATGGTACAAATAGGGGTTTGCGTCGGACATTTCTGAATCGTTTGGAGATTCAGCAGCCATTGGAATGGAAGCCCAAAGGCTACCTCTAACTCATGTCTGGTGATCCAGAACGAGCTGACATCGTACCCTAAATAATTAACCACTCCTCCAGAGACAAGTAAACAGTGCACAGACACAGAATGGACGGAGGTATTAGACTGTGGGGGCGGTACAGAGTGTACCCAAGCACCCATACTGAGTGCACACAAGGGTAACATGTGTGTTTTTACGTTTTTCATCTTTGGCCATGGTTGGTTTCCCCAGTGGTATAAACAAAGAGTAACGTGTATTTTTAAGTGACAACATTTGAGTATTTAGACTTCCTACATGTGGATTACTGAAAACGTGTTCAATGCATTTTTATGGCAGACAATTTATTTTATTCAATAGTCTGAAGCATTATTATTTTTTTCAAGAATTTTCTGGGACAATTTATTTTGGGGGATAAAATCCCAGCAACCCCACACTACCACATCAACCGCCTACCCCTACCCCGTCAAAAACCCCACCCCCAGAATATCAACCGGTCGGTCCCCTAATCTACCCTGGAATCCGTACGGATGAGACACATCACTCCCCCAAGCACTCTCTGTCAGTCACGGATCAGCCTCGATGTACTGTCCATACCCAGTGACGTCCTCGACGTTGACGTCCATCGGTCAAGGCCATACGAAAAGACATGCGAGATATTGACGTTGCTTTGTTTTGTTTATTTTGTTTATTTGTTGTTTAACGCCAAACTCAGCAATATTCCAGCTCTATGACGGCGGTCTGTAAATAATCAAGTCTGGATCAGACAATCCAGTGATTGATATCATGAGCATCGATCCACGCAATTGGGATTCGATGACATGCATCAACCAAGTCAGCGAGCCTGACCACCCGATCCCGTTAGTCGCCTCTTACGACAAGCATAGTCGCCTTTGACAGCAAGCATGGGTTGCTGAAGACCTATTCTCCCGGACCTTCACGGGCAAAAGCAAGCATGGGTTGCTGAAGACCTATTCTACCGGACCTTCACGGGCAAAAGCAAGCATGGGTTGCTGAAGACCTATTCTACCGGACCTTCACGGGCAACAGCAAGCATGGGTTGCTGAAGACCTATTCTACCGGACCTTCACGGGCAACAGCAAGCATGGGTTGCTGAAGACCTATTCTCCCGGACCTTCACGGGCAACAGCAAGCATGGGTTGCTGAAGACCTATTCTATCCCGGATCTTCACGGGTCTATTGACGTTGCAAAGAGATGTTGACGTACTATACAAGTCAGCGTCTCAGTGATTTGATCTGACACACCTGTTGCATGGCGGGGTTAATGCTGTTTGCGTGCATCCTTGACTTTCCATCGGGCTCCATTATATCTCTACTATGTTATGATAAATGTCCCGGGCCCATTCAGTACAATGGACTTGTTATAAGTTTCATTTGATGCAATAGCCCTCCATTCAAATACCCTCACATGCGAGAGGCATTTTGTGCGGAATTGCTGATAAAAAGGATAGAGAGTGTGACGACAAAAAAGTAACTGTAACTAAGTGAGTGAGTGAGTTGGGTTTAACGCCGCCTTGAACGGTATTTCAGTTACATCACGGCGTAAAACCAATGAGCGCGTAATGTCAAACCTAAAATTATAACAAGGACGAACCAGCTTTCGAACCCACGATCATACGAGGTGCGTTCAATAAGTTTGCATCTTGAATATAAGACTAAGTCTGGGCTGTAGGGTGGTTGATTTAACTGTACTGCCCACACTTCGCCCCCAGTGACTATTTCCTGTTCCGGCAAATGAAATCTGGCCTACGTGGAAGACGCTTCCAATCTGCGGATTTCTATAAAAGTGGTATTAAAAGCTTGAAGGACAAATGGAATAAGTGTATTGAGGTGAATGAAGATTATATTGAAAAATAAAAGTTTAAAAGATATTCTGCGACTTGGTCTTATATTGAACTTGAAAAACTGATTGAACGCCCCTCGTAGGTTTCTGGCACGCCAAGGGCACGCAACTCTGCACAGGGCATTGGAGTAAATATAAAGCAATATCAATTTTCGTGAACTAATTATACTACTATTCAAATGCAGGTTATCTGCCCAAAAAATACGATACACCGTAAATCTTCGAAAAAAAGCCATTTATCCCATAACACCGTCACCTTGGCAACAGCTGTAATATCCCATATAGAAAACACTGTGATGTTGCGATAATAAGTTTAGTAGCTGGTGGAGGACTTCGGTATACTGCTTGAATTTCTAGCTTCAGTTAGTTTGTTCCTCTTCTCCAGGGCGTGGAAATTGACATGAGGGTTCACATTCGGACTTCCTTCCTCCTCACTTAACTTCCTCGTTCCGTTACCTCGCACATCCGATTGAGAGAGTCAAACTGATACCCAAGTATGTGAATGGACGTAAAGCGACAATGAAGCTCGTCTGTTTAACCCAAATTTGTCATTCCGTTAATACGATGGTGCCATAAAAGCACAATTGCCGCTCCATTGGTAAGACTAAGGTTTAGTCTCTGAAAATATATATTTTGTCATAGGCACTTAAATTAATGTAAGCTTGACATATAAATAACGGCGTATTGTTACGTGTTGATTCCCTAATTGGAACAATATGTTAACCCAAAAAATCTGTACGTATAAGAACTTGGTGTGAAACCAACAAACAACCAACGAGTGGTATGTAACCACAAATGTATTACAAAATTAACTAGGTTTACAAATCAACACAAATTTCTGCAACATCTAAAGACCTGCATCACTTCGGACTTTCCTCCCACATTAAGCAGACATAACTGGAACACCTTAAAGCCAACTCACTCACTCACACTTAATGGATACATTTCGTCCTGTCAATGTCAGATAAGCAATAGATTGGAGTGTATTGGGAATTTCCAACATTAAAATAGTCCCCATTGTTTTTTAAACAAAGTCCTTTGAAAATAATGTATAGTGATACTATTTTTATACGCCCACCCTTTCAAGATAGAACGGTAATCGTTAAACCCCTGACAATTAATGTAGAATCCTAATACGATGTCCGTACAGGTTTATTTGACCTAAATCTGTTCTTGTTGGTCAAATTAGAAAATGACCAAGATCTTTTATAAATTCAGGATGTTAAATGTTTGTCAGTGTATTCCACGTGAATTTACGACTACCACAGGAAGGGTTGATGGGGCATTTGTAGAGACTTTATATACTGACGGCCAAAGGAAACTTTACCATAGTTATAACTAAGTCTAGTTTAAAAACTACAAAAAAAGAGATCGATATATGTAAAATTGATTGAAAAGATCAAAATCTCAACGAAATCAACATTTAAAATGACAGTCATACAACATCCGATATTGGCATGGAAGTTGCCCGAATTGAGGTGGAGCAGCAAAAACAAGGTTTCAACGTAATGGACAAAGGGCACATACCTCTGAAATCGCTTAAGTTCAATGACAAGACACATTAATAGCGTGTATGACCACACCCTGCTTGAAGACACGCAAAAGTCTCCGGCGCACAGAAAAAGCCAGTCTTCTGATGAAGTCACGTGGAATGCGTCGCTAGTCTTCTCGGAGGGCCTGAATCAGTTGTTGTCGGGAGGCTGGAGGATGTGGTCGCTGTCGATCAGAACGACCCATGACATCCCAGAGATGTTATGCGGGGGACTTGTCTGGGGAGCATGTATGCCACGGCTACACGTTGACGTTGTTGGCTGAAAGGAAGTTCTGTACGATTCAGGCTGTATGGAGTCTGGCATGGTCATGCTGATAAAGGACACCACGTGACAGCTGTTGTAGATATGACAATCGGACGAAGAATGTCATCCATGTAACTCCGATATGTCAAATTCAGGGTGAAAAGTGATCTTCACACGAAAGCTGGTCTTGATGTAATGTCAGATGATGTCAGAAAAAAAGGTGAGATGAGACAGGAACGCGTCCGCTCAACTTCTTTAGTCTTACTAGCTTCCAGTACTTTCCACACAGTGCTTGTTCAGTCAAATGTCATTAGAATATCACAGAATATTCACCATGTTTCTATAACGCTTTACATCCATCCATGCTTTTACGGAAGTTTAAAGATTATTCGAGCAACATAATATAATAAATTCCTCACCACTGCTTACATTGAATACTACTGCATTCCTGACAACTAATAATTGTCCAAATATAATGCAATGAATTTCTACTGAATCTCAACAGAAACATTGTAATACAGTTACAATCATTTTTTAACAATAAATTTCACTGCTATATAACACATTTGAAAGTGGTAAAGTTTCCTTTCGAAGTCAGTTTACATGAAATGCATGTGATCAATAATTATTTCAAAAGGTCTTTTTCATGATTACTCGTATATAACTATAACATCAACGTTCCAAACAGAAAGTTCACTGGTTACACCATTCGAAACAAATTTAATCTTTCAATTCGCAGATAGATTTAGAACAACAAAACTCCTTCATTTATGATGGCAGCTACATGTGGAATCAACTTCGATCGGTAGTAAAACGAGGAGGTTCATTAAAAGTATTTAAACAAAAAAATAAGCCAGAAAACAACAACACAAGACTGGGTCATGTTTTCAAGGCAAATCATAGAAAATCATATCTTTTTGTGGTTTAGACTCTTAAAGTGTTTTACATTTTTTCCTCGAGGGTCGTAATTCTATTAGCTATTAGAATGCTATTACTTGAATATCCCAAATATGGCACAGCCACAGATGACCTTTTTCAAACGGTTGCTGGCAAGAGTGATGGTTAAATTTAACAACTTTCTGTAAATTTTAATTAATTACACAAACAGCAAACATGGCATACTTCCTTTTGACCCTCAGTTTATTACATTAATTTTTCAAACTTGCATAACATATGATCTTAACAATCTGCTATTTAGCGACCCAAAGTCAAAAGACAATGTCAACGATTTACTTTGTAAAGCTGTACATAATTATGTTCTGTCTAAACGACTTAACTAGTTCATGTTTTCTTGTACCAATTACGTTTGTTGTAAAAGGTTGATTGCATTTATTGATATACATGTGTATTAATCATTCTGAAGAAGGGATTGGATCGAGTAGGTTCCTGGAGCTTTTTTCCCGATCCTATTCATTGTCAGTAAAATAAGTTTAAATAACGTTTCATTTTTCTTATCCGGTTTGGGCAAAGAAAAATAATAAGAAATATTAGTAATTGTGTTTTTTTGACTCCGGTAACTAAAACAAACATAAAACAAAAATATTTCTACTGTGTATTTAACGTAATGCCACTTTTCTTGGAGATGTGAGGGCCTGTTTCTAGCCTTGCTAGAGCTATGCTTGGGACAGCGACAGAAACCAACTTTTTAGTCCATGGGCTTAAAAACGGAAAATACAACGTTTTTATACACGTGGGCTTAAAGTAAATTGAAACATTGACTGATCTCACATAGACGATATTCTTCAACATGTGTTATATCACGCTTCTATATATTGCACCTTAAGCACTGTTAGAGAGTTCCACGTTTACAACACATTGGACCGTTAATGCAGGTGGTGTTTCTCATACTCTGTCTTGGACATTTTAGACACATGTGACAAACACGCATAACTGCCACACTCGTTTGTTGTTACTTTTTTGACAGCCATCATTTCAATTTTGAACGTGTTCTTGACTCATAATTTCTAGTTAAAAAAGAAAATCATGTCTCTTTTACAGTGTCGCTCTCTCATTCCACTGAATTTTGGATTTGGGGCTTGAATTTGAAGGATGAAATGTTACTCTACCAAAATAGGCAAAATCCGCCCAGTGCTTAAAACGTGCAGCCCCGGTAATATTTTATACTAAGCGGTCATCGGTCTTTGAATGTCTAAGCGACTGAATACAGGCCAGCACCCTTATGTCAGCCTGTCATAGACTTATCACCATAAGAGTTTTTTTCTGATACGTTATCTGTCCAGGTCTATCTTGACTCGTCGTGTACAGAAGGGTATATACTTCCTGGAAACCGGGTTCGCTCTTATGGTATAACCGGTACCATTTTTTCACGACCTTTGACAAATTGACATATATAAGCCAGAGGGGGGTGGGGGTGGGGTGGGTATGTCGGGTTTGGGGCGGGGGCGGACCCCCCTTCCCTTTTGAAAACCAAATGTAATAGTTGTAGAAAGTCCCCCCTCCCACTGAGACACTGAGAGAGGATTTTGATATTTTGTCTTATGAACCCCTCCCTTTTAAAATGCTTGATCCGCCCTTGTAAAATCATCGACCAAAATAAAAAGAGTTGTGTGTCTATATGATTTTAGGCTGTTGTTGTGCCCATTTTAATTTTGCATAATCAATTAAATGTGTCAGAGTTAAAATAGGAGCGACAAGAAACATTTTCATAATCCTTTCCAGACATCATAGAGACATCTCTACTAAAAGCAGAGTCCATTGTACGATTCCGACTACATCGTAACAATCATAGTAAGAGAGTTTGGGTTAACGCTGCTTTGAACAGAATGGCAGTTATGTCGGCTATCCTCACCCGGATTTCCTCAAAGGGAAATTGTCAGAAATAGGAGAAATTACGTCATAATATTTGACTCGCATGTTGTCTCTGAAATGAACATATTTTACACAAATAAAACAGTTGTTAAAACATCTTAATAAAACATAATAAAAAGGAGCCAAGAGACTTCCTCCGCTTTGCTTGTGATTCAGCCGGTTTGGACAGACCCGGAAACTGCAGGAATCTAGGCTTGCCTATTATAGACTTGCATGGGCTGAATGGGGTATATTTGTTTTACGGCCTTTATGACAGACAGTCATAGCACTTGATATAAGCATATTGGGCGACAGGTTGTGAAAAATACTACTTATTTTCTTTCTGATATACGTGAACTGTGTCATTCCTTGTATTAATTAGACACATAAGTGTATGAAGAATGTCTGATTAAAACCAAAGCCAACCCGTTAAGATCCGGTTTAGAATTGATCTGTAACAACCCATGCTTGGGATAAGGTGGCCAGGCTCGCTGACTCGGTTGATGCATGTCATCGTACCCCAATAGAATAGCGTAGATCGATGCTCAGAATGTCAATGGACTGGATTGTCTGGTCCAGACTCGATTATTTACAGACTGCCGTCATATAACTGAAATATTGCTGATTTCGGCGTTAAACATCAAACGACAACAAACAGGCTGGGTTTCGAAAGGGGCCATTTTACATAAAATACATTCTTAGCTAAGAAAGATTCAAGATTAAAAACACTCAACAATAGTTTGCCAAAAATGACTATATTGAGTAATTGCACCATAATCGTCGATGTCCTCTAACTTCTTGTCTTCAGTGGGCGACTCACGAACAAGTAAATCTGTCCTCGAAGGGTACTAT